GTAAGTTCTCTTTTCGCCTTTATTTTGAATTAAAGATGGAAAATATTTACATAGCAATGCTCTCAAACAGTAAGTCATCAATGGAGATAGCGGAAGAGCTATTATATGTACGCTGCACAGACGTGTACCTGCACTCTGTGATAATTGTAACAATGGACCCTTTCATGGTTAGTAATCAAATTAAAAACTGCTGCATCCGAACTAATGTTTGTGTGTATAACTAGCAACTTTATTACTAAATCGAACCATGTTCTTGATTTGTATCAAACTAAAAATTGGTACAATGTAGTTGTTAGTGGTCATGTGACTTTTTAGTCTGCTGTTGACTGTCGAGTGGAGCTTGTCATATAAGTGTTTTTAAACTGCAGGCCTGATTCCTTTGATATTATACGTGTAGGTACTTACAAATGAAATCATTAATTCTCTAATTGAAATGTGCATACATTTAAACAATTATTGTATGAAATGAAAGAGCCCCAACTTTTCAATTTTGTAGTCTTGAAAATTATTTCACATATCAAGTTCATTATAAAAAAAATTCATTTGGTCGAAAAAGTTAGTCTTTGCGCACATTGGTTTCAAACCTGCACCTTTTGTGTACTAATTTTATAAAGAAAACAGTAAATATTCAAAAATCTGCTCGTTACATAGTTAAATCATAATGGTTAGTGTCTGCTTAGCAACAGAAGTTGCTCAATCGAATAGTATAAACGTATCAATTGATATTGATACAATAAATATTGGAATACTGCAGGACAAGGGGAACTTTCCATCACAAAAAATAACTATGGAATATCAACTGGTTTAACAGGCTACCTTTAATCTTATTTAATATGTCAATAATATGCGAATTGACATAATGCATTATTTTAACTTTGAACCTCTTAATTCACAGGAAACATTGATGGTGTTGACTTAAACAACTTTGTAGCAACCGCAGTGACGCAAGGAACAATACAGAACATTATGGGTGTAAAGACATTTGATGGGGGTATCCATGCTGTTGCCAATGTGACTGGTCTGATCAATGGTGTTGATGTAGATGAGATTGACAGAGAGGCTATTAAAATAACTGATTACACATTTTATGGTATGTAACTTGAATGAACAGCATACACGCAGAAAGTTTCTGGCCAGTAAAACCCTTGGATTTCAGAAGTATGTGGCCCTCAGTTTTAAGTTGCGGTTGTCAGTTTTCAATGGTGAATAGTTTTAGAAAATCACATGTAGCTGCAAATTAAAATATTTACCATGCAGAACTACCAGTACTTTTTTAAACTAATTACATAATATAACATGTTTTGAACTAATTTAGTTGTGGGTTTTCAGCATCTTGAGGGTTCAAGTTGCCAAATGACTTACAGGTTTTTCAGTTCACTATCAAAGATGGATAAATCAATATTGGACGTCGTTTACACACTTCAAAGTTGTTTTCTGTAGCAATTAGGTTACTTTTCAAATTTATTGGATAGCTATTTTACTCGCGCAGTGTCTGAACTTCGAACATTACATGCTTCCGAGCTTAGTTGTATTTAAAATGTATCCGATTCCAACTGCTTTGCAAGACTGGATTTATTGTAGTGGAGACAATAAATAACTTGATAACTTGAAAGCCTTTTCAATGTTGAGTTAACGTTTCCTGACAATATAACTTTAATTTAATTAAATTAATTAATCAAATTCACTTCCTACAATGAGGGTTCTCTAAAATTATCATTTTCCCCGCATATTTGTCAACTTTCAACATCTGTGGCCTTGTGAGAATTGTATCCAAAATACAAATTTGTGGAAATGTGTATAAAAATGTGCCTAATGCTGCTACAAATTTGTTGGTGGGGGGGGGGGGGGGATATGGTGTTGATATAGGGTTACATGCATTGAAATGAGACCCCCCCCCCCCCTCGACCATGGAAACTCAGACAATTGCTAATTACCTGGATTGTATTTTTGCAGGTGATATTACATTTGATACAGTTGTATCCAAGAATAATGTAAATGTGACTGGCACTGTGGATGGAGTTGACATCTATTTAGATTCTATCACACAGATTATATTGTAAGTACACATATTCATTACCATGGCAACCACGGGATTTGTACATGTCTAGTGATGCAGGGTTAGAGCTTGTGTTCTCTCTGTTCTATTGTTTTATTTCCTAATGTCTATTGCAGATTCATATAAATTTTGACCTACCGGTAATACTTTTAATGTCTTTAAATTACTACTCTCTCCCTTACCCATGAATTCAAAACAGAAAATTTGGTACATTCTGTCACATACATGCCTGTTGTGTCATATTTTCGCCACACATCACACAGAACATTTCCCCCTTTTCATTCGTTAAATGAAGAATGACAACCATGGGTACTTGTTCGTCCATTCAGTTTGGAAACCACACATTCTTACTTTCAAGTCATACAGACATCGTTTCTCCTTTTCATTAACTTTGGTTTGACCTAGACCAAATTGTACAATTAGCCCTGCTAATTAGTGAAAATGAGCAAAGTTAAAAAGAACTCCAAATTCTGTTTAATAGAGCGCATGGTTTTATCACAAAAGTAGATGTAAAAAGAAAGGGGATACCCAAACTTGTTTCCTTAAATATTACCTAAATTGTTTTTAAACCCTCCTCCCCATTAACTTTATTGATCAGAATTTTTACTAGAGTGACCATTTATGATTAAAAAATTAGTGAAACTGCATTCAGTGGAGGGTAATAAATCACAAACTAGGTCGGTTAATTCCTGTGACAACTTTCAATTTACTAAAGTTACAATACTATTATTTAAATACATGTACTACATAATGCAACAGAGGGGATGTGGCTTCCATTAGAGCATAATGGTACTTCACATTTGAGTAATGGTGAATTTTTTCTGAATTGTTCAAAAAAAAATAGGCGAGATTTCTACGGAAATGGTGGTATTTCATTGTATTACTATTTTTTTTTTTAGGTTAACCCCTTAGATGTTGGAAGTAAAACATTTAATAACTCCATAAATATTTTGGGTCAGCTCTCGATAGCAGATGGTTGGTTTATTGATGGTGTTGACATAGACAGGTTATCAGCTACTGCTGTGCACCTGACAGGAAATCAACAAATACCCGGAAAGAAGAAATTTCTAGGTAGGTACAATTCCAACTTAGCATTGCTTTAATGTAATGGCTGTGAGGACTCCATGCTAAATGGCATTGCTACAGAAAATTGGATAGTTGATCATGCGACTGCAAATTACAACAGTTTCTATTGACATTCTGTTCATATACTTTACTGTACATAATTCAGTGCAAGGCGAGGCAGTCAACTAGTAATAACGTTCCTTTAAATGTTATAGCATGTACAATCAGAACAGAACTAACATCAGATAAGTGAAAATT